GTGTGTGTGTGTGCTCACGTGTTGTAGGTGTGGATGTAGATGTGGTGTAGCGTGTGTGTGTGTGTGTGTGATCACGTGTTGTAGGTGTGGATGTAGATGTGGTGTAGCGTGTGTGTGTGTGTGTGTGTGTGTGCTCACGTGTTGTAGGTGTGGATGTAGATGTGGTGTAGCGTGTGTGTGTGTGTGTGTGTGTGTGTGTGTGTGCACACGTGTTGTAGGTGTGGATGTAGATGTGGTGTAGCGTGTGTGTGTGTGTGTGTGATCACGTGTTGTAGGTGTGGATGTAGATGTGGTGTAGCGTGTGTGTGTGTGTGTGTGTGTGTGCTCACGTGTTGTAGGTGTGGATGTAGATGTGGTGTAGCGTGTGTGTGTGTGTGTGTGTGTGTGTGTGTGTGCTCACGTGTTGTAGGTGTGGATGTAGATGTGGTGTAGCGTGTGTGTGTGTGTGTGTGCTCACGTGTTGTAGGTGTGGATGTAGATGTGGTGTAGCGTGTGTGTGTGTGTGTGTGTGTGTGTGTGTGCTCACGTGTTGTAGGTGTGGATGTAGATGTGGTGTAGCGTGTGTGTGTGTGTGTGTGTGTGCTCACGTGTTGTAGGTGTGGATGTAGATGTGGTGTAGCGTGTGTGTGTGTGTGTGTGTGTGTGCTCACGTGTTGTAGGTGTGGATGTAGATGTGGTGTAGCGTGTGTGTGTGTGTGTGTGTGTGTGCTCACGTGTTGTAGGTGTGGATGTAGATGTGGTGTAGCGTGTGTGTGTGTGTGTGTGATCACGTGTTGTAGGTGTGGATGTAGATGTGGTGTAGCGTGTGTGTGTGTGTGTGTGTGTGTGCTCACGTGTTGTAGGTGTGGATGTAGATGTGGTGTAGCGTGTGTGTGTGTGTGTGTGTGTGTGCTCACGTGTTGTAGGTGTGGATGTAGATGTGGTGTAGCGTGTGTGTGTGTGTGTGTGTGTGCTCACGTGTTGTAGGTGTGGATGTAGATGTGGTGTAGCGTGTGTGTGTGTGTGTGTGTGTGTGTGTGTGTGTGCTCACGTGTTGTAGGTGTGGATGTAGATGTGGTGTAGCGTGTGTGTGTGTGTGTGTGTGCTCACGTGTTGTAGGTGTGGATGTAGATGTGGTGTAGCGTGTGTGTGTGTGTGTGTGTGTGTGTGTGTGTGTGTGTGTGCTCACGTGTTGTAGGTGTGGATGTAGATGTGGTGTAGCGTGTGTGTGTGTGTGTGTGTGTGCTCACGTGTTGTAGGTGTGGATGTAGATGTGGTGTAGCGTGTGTGTGTGTGTGTGTGTGTGTGTGCTCACGTGTTGTAGGTGTGGATGTAGATGTGGTGTAGCGTGTGTGTGTGTGTGTGTGTGTGCTCACGTGTTGTAGGTGTGGATGTAGATGTGGTGTAGCGTGTGTGTGTGTGTGTGTGCTCACGTGTTGTAGGTGTGGATGTAGATGTGGTGTAGCGTGTGTGTGCTCACGTGTTGTAGGTGTGGATGTAGATGTGGTGTAGCGTGTGTGTGTGTGTGTGTGTGTGTGCTCACGTGTTGTAGGTGTGGATGTAGATGTGGTGTAGCGTGTGTGTGTGTGTGTGTGTGTGCTCACGTGTTGTAGGTGTGGATGTAGATGTGGTGTAGCGTGTGTGTGTGTGTGTGTGTGTGTGCTCACGTGTTGTAGGTGTGGATGTAGATGTGGTGTAGCGTGTGTGTGTGTGTGTGTGTGTGTGCTCACGTGTTGTAGGTGTGGATGTAGATGTGGTGTAGCGTGTGTGTGTGTGTGTGTGATCACGTGTTGTAGGTGTGGATGTAGATGTGGTGTAGCGTGTGTGTGTGTGTGTGTGTGTGTGCTCACGTGTTGTAGGTGTGGATGTAGATGTGGTGTAGCGTGTGTGTGTGTGTGTGTGTGTGTGTGTGTGCTCACGTGTTGTAGGTGTGGATGTAGATGTGGTGTAGCGTGTGTGTGTGTGTGTGTGTGTGTGTGTGTGCTCACGTGTTGTAGGTGTGGATGTAGATGTGGTGTAGCGTGTGTGTGTGTGTGTGTGTGTGCTCACGTGTTGTAGGTGTGGATGTAGATGTGGTGTAGCGTGTGTGTGTGTGTGTGTGTGTGTGTGTGTGCTCACGTGTTGTAGGTGTGGATGTAGATGTGGTGTAGCGTGTGTGTGTGTGTGTGTGTGTGTGTGTGTGCTCACGTGTTGTAGGTGTGGATGTAGATGTGGTGTAGCGTGTGTGTGTGTGTGTGTGTGTGTGTGCTCACGTGTTGTAGGTGTGGATGTAGATGTGGTGTAGCGTGTGTGTGTGTGTGTGTGTGTGCTCACGTGTTGTAGGTGTGGATGTAGATGTGGTGTAGCGTGTGTGTGTGTGTGTGTGCTCACGTGTTGTAGGTGTGGATGTAGATGTGGTGTAGCGTGTGTGTGTGCTCACGTGTTGTAGGTGTGGATGTAGATGTGGTGTAGCGTGTGTGTGTGTGTGTGTGTGTGTGTGCTCACGTGTTGTAGGTGTGGATGTAGATGTGGTGTAGCGTGTGTGTGTGTGTGTGTGTGTGTGCTCACGTGTTGTAGGTGTGGATGTAGATGTGGTGTAGCGTGTGTGTGTGTGTGTGTGTGTGTGCTCACGTGTTGTAGGTGTGGATGTAGATGTGGTGTAGCGTGTGTGTGTGTGTGTGTGTGTGTGCTCACGTGTTGTAGGTGTGGATGTAGATGTGGTGTAGCGTGTGTGTGTGTGTGTGTGATCACGTGTTGTAGGTGTGGATGTAGATGTGGTGTAGCGTGTGTGTGTGTGTGTGTGTGTGTGCTCACGTGTTGTAGGTGTGGATGTAGATGTGGTGTAGCGTGTGTGTGTGTGTGTGTGTGTGTGTGTGTGCTCACGTGTTGTAGGTGTGGATGTAGATGTGGTGTAGCGTGTGTGTGTGTGTGTGTGTGTGTGCTCACGTGTTGTAGGTGTGGATGTAGATGTGGTGTAGCGTGTGTGTGTGTGTGTGTGTGTGTGTGCTCACGTGTTGTAGGTGTGGATGTAGATGTGGTGTAGCGTGTGTGTGTGTGTGTGTGTGTGTGTGTGTGTGCTCACGTGTTGTAGGTGTGGATGTAGATGTGGTGTAGCGTGTGTGTGTGTGTGTGTGTGTGCTCACGTGTTGTAGGTGTGGATGTAGATGTGGTGTAGCGTGTGTGTGTGTGTGTGTGTGTGTGTGTGTGTGTGTGTGTGTGTGTGTGTGTGCTCACGTGTTGTAGGTGTGGATGTAGATGTGGTGTAGCGTGTGTGTGTGTGTGTGTGTGTGCTCACGTGTTGTAGGTGTGGATGTAGATGTGGTGTAGCGTGTGTGTGTGTGTGTGTGTGTGCTCACGTGTTGTAGGTGTGGATGTAGATGTGGTGTAGCGTGTGTGTGTGTGTGTGTGCTCACGTGTTGTAGGTGTGGATGTAGATGTGGTGTAGCGTGTGTGTGTGTGTGTGTGTGTGTGCTCACGTGTTGTAGGTGTGGATGTAGATGTGGTGTAGCGTGTGTGTGTGTGTGTGTGCTCACGTGTTGTAGGTGTGGATGTAGATGTGGTGTAGCGTGTGTGTGTGTGTGTGTGTGTGTGTGTGTGCTCACGTGTTGTAGGTGTGGATGTAGATGTGGTGTAGCGTGTGTGTGTGTGTGTGTGTGTGCTCACGTGTTGTAGGTGTGGATGTAGATGTGGTGTAGCGTGTGTGTGTGTGTGTGTGTGTGTGTGTGTGTGTGTGTGTGTGTGCTCACGTGTTGTAGGTGTGGATGTAGATGTGGTGTAGCGTGTGTGTGTGTGTGTGTGTGTGTGTGCTCACGTGTTGTAGGTGTGGATGTAGATGTGGTGTAGCGTGTGTGTGTGTGTGTGTGTGTGCTCACGTGTTGTAGGTGTGGATGTAGATGTGGTGTAGCGTGTGTGTGTGTGTGTGTGCTCACGTGTTGTAGGTGTGGATGTAGATGTGGTGTAGCGTGTGTGTGTGTGTGTGTGTGTGTGCTCACGTGTTGTAGGTGTGGATGTAGATGTGGTGTAGCGTGTGTGTGTGTGTGTGTGTGTGTGTGTGTGCTCACGTGTTGTAGGTGTGGATGTAGATGTGGTGTAGCGTGTGTGTGTGTGTGTGTGTGTGTGTGTGTGTGTGTGTGTGTGTGTGCTCACGTGTTGTAGGTGTGGATGTAGATGTGGTGTAGCGTGTGTGTGTGTGTGTGTGTGTGTGTGTGTGTGTGCTCACGTGTTGTAGGTGTGGATGTAGATGTGGTGTAGCGTGTGTGTGTGTGTGTGTGTGTGCTCACGTGTTGTAGGTGTGGATGTAGATGTGGTGTAGCGTGTGTGTGTGTGTGTGTGTGTGTGTGTGTGTGTGTGTGTGCTCACGTGTTGTAGGTGTGGATGTAGATGTGGTGTAGCGTGTGTGTGTGTGTGTGTGTGTGTGTGCTCACGTGTTGTAGGTGTGGATGTAGATGTGGTGTAGCGTGTGTGTGTGTGTGTGTGTGTGTGTGCTCACGTGTTGTAGGTGTGGATGTAGATGTGGTGTAGCGTGTGTGTGTGTGTGTGTGTGTGCTCACGTGTTGTAGGTGTGGATGTAGATGTGGTGTAGCGTGTGTGTGTGTGTGTGTGCTCACGTGTTGTAGGTGTGGATGTAGATGTGGTGTAGCGTGTGTGTGTGTGTGTGTGTGTGTGCTCACGTGTTGTAGGTGTGGATGTAGATGTGGTGTAGCGTGTGTGTGTGTGTGTGTGTGTGCTCACGTGTTGTAGGTGTGGATGTAGATGTGGTGTAGCGTGTGTGTGTGTGTGTGTGTGCTCACGTGTTGTAGGTGTGGATGTAGATGTGGTGTAGCGTGTGTGTGTGTGTGTGTGTGTGTGTGTGTGCTCACGTGTTGTAGGTGTGGATGTAGATGTGGTGTAGCGTGTGTGTGCTCACGTGTTGTAGGTGTGGATGTAGATGTGGTGTAGCGTGTGTGTGTGTGTGTGTGTGTGTGCTCACGTGTTGTAGGTGTGGATGTAGATGTGGTGTAGCGTGTGTGTGTGTGTGTGTGTGTGTGTGTGTGTGTGCTCACGTGTTGTAGGTGTGGATGTAGATGTGGTGTAGCGTGGCCTGCTGGAGGCTGAACACGTAGACCACGATGCGGTGTAAGATGTCGCTGGTCTCCGCGAAGAACTGGTCGAATCCCCAACACTTCTCCTGATCCGCCTCCAGGATGTTGGCCAGCACTGGCGTGAGGAGACTCTGAAGACCCCTGAAACACACACACACACCGTCACACACATGTCTCCACACCACGAGCCGTCGTCTCTCACACACACACACACACGTGTCTCCACACCACGAGCCGCCGTCACACACACACACACGTCTCCACACCACGAGCCGTCACACACACACACACACGTCTCCACACCACGAGCCGTCGTCTCACACACACACACACCGTCACACACACACACACACACACACGTCTCCACACCACGAGCCGTCGTGTCACACACACACACACACAGACACACACACACACACACCGTCACACACACACACACACACCTGCGTCACACACACACGTCTCCACACCACGAGCCGCCGTCACACACACTCACACACACACACGCACACACACACACACACGTCTCCACACCACGAGCCGCCGTCACACACACTCACACACACACACACACACTTCTCCACACCACGAGCCGCCGTCACACACACTCACACACACACACACACACGCACACACACACACACACACACACACGTCTCCACACCACGAGCCGCCGTCACACACACTCACACACACACACACACACACGCACACACACACACACACTTCTCCACACCACGAGCCGCCGTCACACACACTCACACACACACACACACACACACACTTGGAGAGGCTGCAGGAGATCGGCATCTCGGAGCTCCACTCGATCTTCCCGTTCTCGAACTTCTGATGGCCTGAGATCGCGCCCGACGGCTTCTCCGTGATGATCTTATACCTGCGACACACACACACACACACACACACAGGTGACCAACCCGTCTCTATAATAACACTAATCACACAACAGAAGACTGAGAACACACACTCGCTCTTCACTGAATCACTGTGACTATATTTCTAATGTATATTTTATTGATACTTTGATACTTGATTTTATTATACTTTATTTCAATCGTATCTTTGTTCAGTTTTATCTTTTGTTGCGATTGCTAATTTTGTATGTGTTCTTGTTTAATGAGGTGTGTGTGTGTGTGACGCGGGTTGTGTGTGTGTGTGTGTGACGAGTTAATCTGATGCAATGAGGTGTATGTGACGAGTTACTGTGATGCAGGTGTGTGTGTGTGTGTGTGTGATAAGTTAGTGTGATGTAGGTGTGTGTGTGTGTGTGTGTGTGTGTGATAAGTTACTGTGATGCAGGTGTGTGTGTGTGTGTGTGTGTGTGTGTGATAAGTTACTGTGATGTAGGTGTGTGTGTGTGTGTGTGTGTGTGTGTGTGTGACGAGTTACTGTGATGCAGGTGTGTGTGTGTGTGTGTGTGTGTGTGTGACGAGTTACTGTGATGCAGGTGTGATGTAGGTGTGTGTGTGTGTGTGTGTGATAAGTTAGTGTGATGTAGGTGTGTGTGTGTGTGTGTGTGACGGCACCCACATGACTTCCTTGTTCCTGCGCGGGCCTTCGAAGGGTCTGAACGGCAGGCACCCGGTGGCGGCGTGATAGAACGTGACGCCGATGCTCCACAGATCCACCGTGGCTCCGTACTTCTTCTGGTGATCTTTCCTCAGAACCGCTCGCTCGTACATGTCGGGATGCTGCACACACACACACACATCAGCACATGTTCCTCACACACACACACACACATCAGCACAAAACACACCCGTTACTCATTAAGAGAATAGCGCCGCCCCTGTTAGACCAGCGCCGAGCGTGTGTCCCGTCGTTACTCTAGCAGAGCTGGATTCGGACCCATAAGCGCTGTAGATCATGCGCTGAGATCCTTATAATACGGCCCATGTTATTATTATTATTAGATTTATTCTTCTCTGTTTTGATTATTGTAATCTGTATTATAACCCACTCTTTCATTGTCTTCCTTTTGTATAATTTTTTCTTTGCAAAATGTGAAAAATTTAAGAAATAAATCTCTCTTTTTTTTTTATCGGGTTAGTGTTTTCCCATCATGCTCCGCTCACCAGATACTCCTCGGTGCCGTAGAGCGAGACGAACTGCTCGTCGTCCTCCAGCTCGCGCGCGGCTCCGAAGTCTGTGAGTTTGTACACGGACCGGCCGTCCTCTCCGATCACACGCATGATGTTCCCCGGCTTGATGTCTCGGTGCACGATCCCGTACTCCCGCAGATGGTTCATTCCTGCCACTGTCACATGACGAGGGCGGGGCAGTCGCTCATTATCATTTAAACAGACATGCACCTCATTATCATTTAAAGAGACATGCACCTCATTATCATTTAAAGAGACATGCACCTCATTATCATTTAAAGAGACATGCACTTCATTATCATTTAAAGAGACATGCACCACATTATCATTTAAAGAGACGTGCACCTCATTATCATTTAAAGAGACGTGCACCTCATTATCATTTAAAGAGACGTGCACCTCATTATCATTTAAAGAGACATGCACCTCATTATCATTTAAAGAGACATGCACCTCATTATCATTTAAACAGACATGCACCTCATTATCATTTAAAGAGACATGCACCACATTATCATTTAAAGAGACATGCACCACATTATCATTTAAACAGACGTGCACCTCATTATCATTTAAACAGACGTGCACCTCATTATCATTTAAACAGACGTGCACCTCATTATCATTTAAAGAGACATGCACCACATTATCATTTAAAGAGACATGCACCTCATTATCATTTAAAGAGACATGCACCTCATTATCATTTAAAGAGACGTGCACCTCATTATCATTTAAAGAGACATGCACCTCATTATCATTTAAAGAGACATGCACCGGAACGGGTCGCTGTGAACAGAGCTGTGTTTGAGGAGGTAAAAGTGTGTTGTTTTACACAACCATTGAGAAATTTTAACCAAAATATGTTACAAACTTTACACTAAGACCCTAAAGAATCACAGCAACATGTGGAAAATGGGCATCCGACGCCCTCTCTGAGTCTCACACTTAAAGGAACCCTTCAGGTGCTGTGTGTCGTCTCGTCCCGTGTGTGTGCAGAACTCACCCACGTCCTGCAGAACGATGAGGAACTCGTCCTCCGGGAGCCCGTATGCGTTGGTCGGCTCCTCCAGAACCGTGTACAGGCTCCCGCACGGGCAGTACTCCATCACCAACACCTTGTGACGCGTGTTCGACTGGCAAACAACATCAGCGTTCACAATCACAACAGAACAGTGACGTTTGGTGCTCTTAGAGAACCGGTATTACAGCTTACACACACACGAGGAAGTAAATCAGGGAAGAGTTCAGCAGTGACTGTGTTTAACTTCAGAATTAAAACGTCTCCCTCACATCATCCAAGATGTTCATGTCTTTCTTTCTTTAGTCGAAAAGAAATTAAGAAAACACTCCAGGATTTCTCCATATAGTGTCTTCAATGGGGTCCAACGGGTCGAAGGTCCAGATGTGAGTTTCAGTGCAGCTTCAAAGTCTCGACACGATCCAGCCGAGGAATAAGAGTCTGATCTAGACAAACCAGCGGACATTTATAACACAATACACATTTATATACTTTTAACCACTAATGCTGGTCTTGCTCTAGCTGTGATGCGACACACATTACGCAATCAGGGTGAAAGGCATTAGTGGGTAAAAGTATATAAATGTGTATTTTGTTATAAATGTCCGCTGGTTTGTCTAGATCAGACTCTTATTCCTCGGCTGGATCGTGTTGAGACTTTGAAGCTGCACTGAAACTCACATCTGGACCTTCGACCCGTTGGACCCCATTGAAGACACTATATGGAGAAACCCTGGAGTGTGTTCCTCAAAAACCTTCATTTCTTTTCAACTGAAGAAAGAAAGACATGGACATCTTGGATGACGTGAGGAAGAGTAAATTATCAGGAGATTTTAATTCTAGAGTGGACTGGTCCTTTAAAGAGGTTCGATGTGGCCTCACCTCCTCCTCGACGGCGAACAGCTTCACGATGTTCTTGTGGTTGAGCTTCTTCAGCACCTCGAACTCCCTCATCTGGACGTCCAGCGGCCGCAGAAAGCTTAGGTTATTAAACACTTTGACCGCGTACAGATCGCCCGTTTTCTACAGAGAGTTGCATATAAAGTTCACATTACTCTCAGCGGTCAGAAACATGCGCTGAGGAATCAAACGATTCACTGACTCAAATGAATCAAAATCCCTGTGTGAGAGATTCAGAGTGAGGGTTCAAAAGTTCATCAGATTCCCAGCTAACAGAAACATACAGTTTTATAAATGTTGTAAAGCGTTTCTTCTTGGTTCTGTGAACGTTACGGGAACAGTGACACTGTATCATTCTCACACATTATAGAACGTTACTTTTGAATCTGAACGTTCTGAAACATTTAAAAACCGTTACATTTAAAAACGAACATTCTATTAATGTCACTGGAAGAAGGTTTGTTCTCTGTTCTCTGGGTTCTGGGATCTGATGTGAGGTGATTTAAACACTGATGAAGGAAGCATTTATTCTCCTGAACCGGAGACAGAACTGCAGTAAAGACGATCGGGTGAGGTCGAGGCGCGGATACCTTGTGCCGGCCGCGGTACACGTTGGCCGTGGCGCCCTGACCCAGCAGGTCCGACATCATCCACAGGTAGTTCGCCGTACTCTGCATGATGACTGTAGATTCACCTGAAACACATCAGCATAATCATGAGGAAATCTCTGAGAACACAAACATCATAATGCACCATCACAATAACTAATTTTCCAGGTATTACCCAGATAACGTTCCGTCAAGGCTCTTCTAGTTCGTTCAAAGTTATCCGGTCTTTTATAATGATCTCAGAACATCATGGAACGTTTTATTTAGACGTTTTTTAAATGTTTCTACTTGTTTCAGAACGTTCAGATTCAAAAGTAACGTTCCATAATGTGTGAAGAATGATACAGTGTCACTGTTCCCGTAACGCTCACAGAACCAAGAACACACGCTTTACAACTGGAGGTTCAGAAAACATTCAGTAATAACGTTTTCATAACTTCATGGGAACATCCGCAAAACGTTCTTAGAACATAGTCGATGCTATACAGTCAAAACAACACTTATTCACAGTGACACTCCTTCAACATTATCAGTTTATTCGCTATAGTTTAGAAAATGGTGATAAACATGAGCAGAACTCAGTGGATATTTGACTGGTTTTGTCCGTCCTTCTGTTAGACTCTCACACATGAGTTATGTTGAATATCTGTCAGCTGTTAAATTTAACTACACAATTAGATAATACCAGTTTAGCTCAACCAGTGACCAAGCAATGCTTCATGTTGTTCAGTGTGTGTGTAAAAAGAGCATTAGCAATTACAGAAAACACACAGAAGAAAACATGATCAGCTCAAAGTGGAGGAATCATATTTGGTTCCAAATTTGTGTAACTTTTACTGGTAGTCACTGTATGAAGAATATTTGGGTATAATAATATGTCACAGATGACTTTATTTTGCTCTCCTTACTTACATAATGAACTATAGTGTCCTGCACACACTTGTAAAAAAAAAATATATCAAAAATTATAGGCTATCTGGTGTCTGAATAATTTTTGTTTTGACTGTTTCTTGAATGCAATGGCAGGCCAGCGGTTTCGTTTCGTAAACCTTTAGCTTTCATTTCGCTGAAACGACAATACCGCGCATATTAAGCGTGTAATGATGAGGATATTGCGAAATCCGCTGCGGGATTGTTTTTCACCGTGACGTCACAGATCTGCGGGAATTTCCCGCATCAGCGCGTGATTCTGTCGCCCTTTTAGCGTGAAACTAAACAAAAAATATGTCAAATTAGACGTAAAAGGAGAAGCGAGAGAGAATCGTGAGGTTTATATCATCTGTACGGATCGTTACGACACCAAATCGAGTGAAACTGAAAGTAACGTTACATTAAATATCCTGACAGAATAAAGCGGTTATTTATTATCGTGCTGTGACATTAGATGTGATTAAACCGATCGAGGAATATCCCGCACTGAACACAATCATGCTTTCATTATATTAAATAAAATAATAAAAACACATCACATCCGTCTAAACATTGCGTTGTTCCGTCTAACATTAGGGTAAGACAGTAAACACAGGTATAATAATGATGACATGCGAGCTGTGCGATAATTATATGATGCATTTAATGTCAGTATGTAATGTTTATATGTTCTCACCTCGAGAGCACGACAGTCTCTTCCGTTTTCCGTGTTTTCATCACATGAGAGACACCGGGCTGTGTCGCAATCACACACTGCACACTCGCTCACACACTCCGACTGTAGTGTAGGTGCTGTGAGCATGAGGGATTGTTTTGTACACTACGCATTAATCGATATGTTCATAGTCCACTCCGAACTGGGTTTCTGAAACGTGTATCGCTACACAGCACACAGTTTCACGTACTGTTTTGATTAAAGCGTATTACAGTGTACACTACGTAGTATGCAGGAGTTCCAATGCGCACACAGCCATAGACAACCGTAAATATCATATTAGAGGAGAATGTGAAAACTACTGCATGGATATGGGATATTTTTTTTGTTCTTCAAAACGTTTTCTTTTGTTTTGTTTTAAGATTATAACACCAGACGTCCTTTCACAGACATGTTGTTTCACAGTGGTGGATTTGGATTTTGTTATATTTTGCAGTGTGCAAATGTGATGGTTTATCGGTAGAGGGCGCTGCTCAGAAGGGAAGTGATTATTATATTTTGATCCGTGAACTTTGTTTGCTTTTCTGATAATTAAATTTTGCATTCTTTTTTCAGTTTGTGCAATATATTTTACATGTGTTTTTACATTTTTTAATCAAAATCACAATTTTATTTTTTTGATCCGTGGCCGCAATACATTTGCCGGGATTTAGATCCCCAGTGTTACTTTATTAAAAACATTATTATTGTTCTTGTTCGTATTGTAGAGACACTACATGTATACACTACTGTTAAACAGTGATTGCTATGTTTATGTATTGTTTATATTATATGTTTTATATTTGTTCTAAGGTTTTGAGAACATAATTAAAGACATATATGATATGAAGAACATTTGTTCATAATGTTGCCAGAACTGAGAACGTTTGCTGTAGGATGGGGACTCTGTAGAATGCGTTGTTATGTAAAATATTAAAAGGAAACAGGCCTTATGAAGGTGTATAAAGAGAGGAGTGTTATTTACACACGCACACACACTCTCTCTCTCTCTCTCTCTCTCTCTCTCTCTCTCTCTCTCTCTCTCTCTCTCTCTCTCTCTCTCTCTCTCTCTCTCTCTCTCTCTCTCTCTCTCTCTCTCTCTCTCTTTAAAATACCCAAATTATAAATCAACTTCAGTGTTTGAGAAAGAATATGGTTTCATATTTCCAGCTGGTGTTGGGAATGTTGAGAATATGTGTGTTTGTCCTTTGCTTTATTTGGAATAAAGCATTTTTATTAATAATCATTATTATGGTAATAAATACAGATAGGTAGATAGACTGGTGTGTAGCTATATGTTAAAACACTGTGGTATCAAATCTTCATATTCTAATTTGTCACACTGTTAATTTGTACAATTAATTTAATTTGTACATTTAAATTTAAGTTATGTTATAATATTTTATTATTTTGATGTCTTTATAATTATTCTATGTATTCCAAGCTTTGGCAATATTGCATTATGTACAGTCATGTCAATAAAGCAATTTTGAATTTGAATTTAGATAGATAGATAGATAGATAGATAGATAGATAGATAGATAGATAGATAGATAGATAGATAGATAGATAGATAGATAGATAGATAGATAGATAGATAGATAGATAGATAGAGTCCTATTACTGTAATTTGAATGGCAGGTTCACCTGCGCACTCAGGTGAGATTACGCGTGTGCGCGCGTGGAGGCGCTGGCGGGTCGCGCGCTGCGCGTGTGTCCGTGAGGCGGAGCGCGAGTCAAACTCACACAAGCGGCTGTTCATTTTGTCATTAAACCGAAAAACTCACTGACAGTCACTCGACGAGCCGTGTGTGTTTGTGCTTCTGTCATGCGGTAAAGCGAGGAGAAACACAGAAACAGGTGAGCGTGTTACACACACAAACACACTCACACACTTGTATTTGTAAATTGTAGATTGTGTATACTGGCGGTGTTTGTACATTTATTCCCCTTAAACGCGAATAACAGCTCGTTCGTCCTCATGGCTGTGTTTTTGTGTTTGTTATTGTGTTTATTTTGTTGTGTGCTGATCACGGTCATGTTCCGTTTGCTGGTTTAATGGGCGCGCGCGGTAAATACTGTCTCGGTTGCCATGGCAGAGCCTGTCACGCGCAGGTACCAGCACGCGCCTCAATTCATGCATTAATATTAGTGCTGAGATCAGACTACATTAATACATCACTGCAGTTGTGTTTATATCACCGCTGAGATCAGACTACATTAATACATCACTGCAGTTGTGTTTATATCACCGCTGAGATCAGACTACATTAATACATCACTGCAGTTGTGTTTATATCACTGCTGAGATCAGACTACATTAATACATCACTGCAGTTGTGTTTATATCACCGCTGAGATCAGACTACATTAATACATCACTGCAGTTGTGTTTATATCACTGCTGAGATCAGACTACATTAGTACATCACTGCAGTTGTGTTTATATCACCGCTGAGATCAGACTACATTAATACATCACTGCAGTTGTGTTTATATCACCGCTGAGATCAGACTACATTAATACATCACTGCAGTTGTGTTTATATCACCGCTGAGATCAGACTACATTAATACATCACTGCAGTTGTGTTTATATCACCGCTGAGATCAGACTACATTAATACATCACTGCAGTTGTGTTTATATCACCGCTGAGATCAGACTACATTAATACATCACTGCAGTTGTGTTTATATCACCGCTGAGATCAGACTACATTAATACAGCACTGCAGTTGTGTTTATATCACCGCTGAGATCAGACTACATTAATACATCACTGCAGTTGTGTTTATATCACTGCTGAGATCAGACTATATTAATACATCACTGCAGTTGTGTTTATATCACCGCTGAGATCAGACTACATTATTACATCACTGCAGTTGTGTTTATATCACCGCTGAGATCAGACTACATTAATACATCACTGCAGTTGTGTTTATATCACACGCTGAGATCAGACTACATTATTACATCACTGCAGTTGTGTTTATATCCCCGCTGAGATCAGACTACATTAGTACATCACTGCAGTTGTGTTTATATCACCCGCTGAGATCAGACTACATTAATACATCACTGCAGTTGTGTTTATATCCCTGCTGAGATCAGACTACATTAGTACATCACTGCAGTTGTGTTTATATCACCGCTGAGATCAGACTATATTAATACATCACTGCAGTTGTGTTTATATCACCGCTGAGATCAGACTACATTAATACATCACTGCAGTTGTGTTTATATCACCGCTGAGATCAGACTACATTAATACATCACTGCAGTTGTGTTTATATCACCGCTGAGATCAGACTACATTAGTACATCACTGCAGTTGTGTTTATATCACCGCTGAGATCAGACTACATTAATACATCACTGCAGTTGTGTTTATATCACCGCTGAGATCAGACTACATTAATACATCACTGCAGTTGTGTTTATATCACCGCTGAGATCAGACTACATTAATACATCACTGCAGTTGTGTTTATATCACCGCTGAGATCAGACTACATTAATACATCACTGCAGTTGTGTTTATATCACCGCTGAGATCAGACTACATTAGTACATCACTGCAGTTGTGTTTATATCACCGCTGAGATCAGACTACATTAATACATCACTGCAGTTGTGTTTATATCACTGCTGAGATCAGACTATATTAATACATCACTGCAGTTGTGTTTATATCACCGCTGAGATCAGACTACATTATTACATCACTGCAGTTGTGTTTATATCACCGCTGAGATCAGACTACATTAATACATCACTGCAGTTGTGTTTATATCACACGCTGAGATCAGACTACATTATTACATCACTGCAGTTGTGTTTATATCACCGCTGAGATCAGACTACATTAATACATCACTGCAGTTGTGTTTATATCACCCGCTGAGATCAGACTACATTAATACATCACTGCAGTTGTGTTTATATCACCGCTGAGATCAGACTACATTAATACATCACTGCAGTTGTGTTTATATCACTGCTGAGATCAGACTACATTAATACATCACTGCAGTTGTGTTTATATCACTGCTGAGATCAGACTACATTAATACATCACTGCAGTTGTGTTTATATCACTGCTGAGATCAGACTACATTAATACATCACTGCAGTTGTGTTTATATCACTGCTGAGATCAGACTACATTAGTACATCACTGCAGTTGTGTTTATATCACTGCTGAGATCAGACTACATTAATACATCACTGCAGTTGTGTTTATATCACTGCTGAGATCAGACTACATTAATACATCACTGCAGTTGTGTTTATATCACTGCTGAGATCAGACTACATTAATACATCACTGCAGTTGTGTTTATATCACCGCTGAGATCAGACTACATTATTACATCACTGCAGTTGTGTTTATATCACCGCTGAGATCAGACTACATTAGTACATCACTGCAGTTGTGTTTATATCACCCGCTGAGATCAGACTACATTAATACATCACTGCAGTTGTGTTTATATCACCGCTGAGATCAGACTACATTAGTACATCACTGCAGTTGTTTATATCACCGCTGAGATCAGACTACATTAGTACATCACTGCAGTTGTGTTTATATCACCGCTGAGATCAGACTACATTAATACATCACTGCAGTTGTTTATATCACTGCTGAAATCAGACTACATTAATACATCACTGCAGTTGTGTTTATATCACCGCTGAGATCAGACTACATTAATACATCACTGCAGTTGTGTTTATATCACCGCTGAGATCAGACTACATTAATACATCACTGCAGTTGTGTTTATATCACACGCTGAGATCAGACTACATTATTACATCACTGCAGTTGTGTTTATATCACCGCTGAGATCAGACTACATTAATACATCACTGCAGTTTTGTTTATATCACCCGCTGAGATCAGACTACATTAATACATCACTGCAGTTGTGTTTATATCACCGCTGAGATCAGACTACATTAGTACATCACTGCAGTTGTGTTTATATCACCCGCTGAGATCAGACTACATTAATACATCACTGCAGTTGTGTTTATATCACCGCTGAGATCAGACTACATTAATACATCACTGCAGTTTTGTTTATATCACCCGCTGAGATCAGACTACATTAATACATCACTGCAGTTGTGTTTATATCACCGCTGAGATCAGACTACATTATTACATCACTGCAGTTGTGTTTATATCACCGCTGAGATCAGACTACATTAGTACATCACTGCAGTTGTGTTTATATCACCCGCTGAGATCAGACTACATTAATACATCACTGCAGTTGTGTTTATATCACCGCTGAGATCAGACTACATTAGTACATCACTGCAGTTGTGTTTATATCCCTGCTGAGATCAGACTACATTAATACATCACTGCAGTTGTGTTTATATCACCGCTGAGATCAGACTACATTAATACATCACTGCAGTTGTGTTTATATCACTGCTGAGATCAGACTACATTAGTACATCACTGCAGTTGTGTTTATATCACCGCTGAGATCAGACTACATTAGTACATCACTGCAGTTGTGTTTATATCACCGCTGAGATCAGACTACATTAATACATCACTGCAGTTGTTTATATCACTGCTGAAATCAGACTACATTAATACATCACTGCAGTTGTGTTTATATCACCCGCTGAGATCAGACTACATTAATACATCACTGCAGTTGTGTTTATATCACCGCTGAGATCAGACTACATTAATACATCACTGCAGTTGTGTTTATATCACTGCTGAGATCAGACTACATTAATACATCACTGCAGTTGTGTTTATATCACCCGCTGAGATCAGACTACATTAGTACATCACTGCAGTTGTGTTTATATCACCGCTGAGATCAGACTACATTAGTACATCACTGCAGTTGTGTTTATTTCACCGCTGAGATCAGACTACATTAGTACATCACTGCAGTTGTGTTTATATCACCGCTGAGATCAGACTACATTAATACATCACTGCAGTTTTGTTTATTTCACCGCTGAGATCAGACTACATTAGTACATCACTGCAGTTGTGTTTATATCCCCGCTGAGATCAGACTACATTAATACATCACTGCAGTTGTGTTTATATCACCGCTGAGATCAGACTACATTAATACATCACTGCAGTTGTGTTTATATCACCGCTGAGATCAGACTACATTAATACATCACTGCAGTTTTGTTTATATCACCGCTGAGATCAGACTACATTAGTACATCACTGCAGTTGTGTTTATATCCCCGCTGAGATCAGACTACATTAGTACATCACTGCAGTTGTGTTTATATCCCTGCTGAGATCAGACTACATTAATACATCACTGCAGTTGTGTTTATATCACCGCTGAGATCAGACTACATTAATACATCACTGCAGTTTTGTTTATTTCACCGCTGAGATCAGACTACATTAGTACATCACTGCAGTTGTGTTTATATCCCCGCTGAGATCAGACTACATTAATACATCACTGCAGTTGTGTTTATATCACCGCTGAGATCAGACTACATTAATACATCACTGCAGTTGTGTTTATATCACCGCTGAGATCAGACTACATTATTACATCACTGCAGTTGTGTTTATATCACCGCTGAGATCAGACTACATTAATACATCACTGCAGTTGTGTTTATATCACCGCTGAGATCAGACTACATTAATACATCACTGCAGTTTTGTTTATATCACCGCTGAGATCAGACTACATTAGTACATCACTGCAGTTGTGTTTATATCCCCGCTGAGATCAGACTACATTAGTACATCACTGCAGTTGTGTTTATATCCCTGCTGAGATCAGACTACATTAATACATCACTGCAGTTGTGTTTATATCACCG